GAGTTCAAGACCAGACTGGCCAACCTGGGGAAACCCCATCTCTACTAAAAAATAAAAAAATTAGCTTGGCATGGTGACTTGTGCCTGTAATCCCAGCTACTTGGAAGGCTGAAGTAGAACTGCTTAAACCAGGACCCTGGAGGTGGAGGTTGCAGTGAGCCGAGATCACGCCACTGCACTCCAGCCTGGGGTACAGAGCAAGACTCTATCTCAAAAAAATAAGTAAGTAAAATAAAATATTTGCTGGGTGTGGTGGCTCACGCCTGTAATCCTAGCACTTTGGGATGCCAAGGCAGGTGGATCACAAGGTTAGGAGTTTGAGGCCAGCCTGACCAACATGGTGAAACCCTGTTTCTACTAAAAATACAAAAATTAGGCAGGTGTGGTGACGTGTGCCTGCAATCCCAGCTATTCAGGAGGCTGAGGCAGGAAAATCACTTGAAACCTGGGAGGCAGAGGTTGCAGTGAACCGAGATCATGCCACTGCACTCCAGCCTGGGTAACAGAGCAAGACTCCATTTCAAAAAAAAAAAAAATTTATAAAGAAAAAAAAGAAAAAAAAATCTCGATTTAAAAAGGACGCAAAGGACTTGAACAGGGCAATTCATAAATGAGATGCCAGAATATGCACTAAAAAAAGTGAACAGATGCATAATCTCAACAGTGAGATATAATCACATTATTCAGGCAGCAGGTTTAATGTCTACTGACAGTACAGGTTGGCAAGAAGGTGGCACTATAAGAATATTCAATGAGGGCCGGGCGCGGTGGCTCAAGCCTGTAATCCCAGCACTTTGGGAGGCCGAGGCGGGTGGATCACGAGGTCGAGAGATCGAGACCAACCATGGTCAACATGGTGAAACCCCGTCTCTACTAAAAATACAAAAAATTAGCTGGGCATGGTGGTGCGTGCCTATAATCCCAGCTACTCAGGAGGCTGAGGCAGGAGAATTGCCTGAACCCAGGAGGCGGAGGTTGCGGTGAGCCGAGATCGCGCCATTGCACTCCAGCCTGGGTAACAAGAGCGAAACTCCGTCTCAAAAAAAAAAGAATATTCAATGAGGAGAAATTCTAAGGTAGCCTACTCACTTTGGAGAATCATTTGGCAACAGAGTTGAAGTTACGTAATACACTATGATACAAAAATCCCACTTCTGGGTGAATGGGCTAACCCAGAAACTCTCTTGATATATCTGAAGTTTTATAACAAACTAATACCTAATTTAGGAATACAGACAGAAGCACGAGAAGTACATTATAGGAAAGATAAATACCAAGTAAGCCTCAGTGATCTCAAAACAAACTTTTTTTTTTTTTTTTTTTTTTTTGAGACAGGGTTGTGCTGTGTCACCCAGGCAGAGTGCAGCCTCCCAAGCAGCTGGGACATGAGATGTGAATCACCACGTCTGGCTTCATGGTTTTTTTTTGGCCGGGGGGAGTCTCTCTACGTTGTACAGGCTTGATTGGTTTCAAATCCTAACGCTCAAACTATTCTCTTGCCTTAGCCTCCCAAAGTGTTGGGTGGGGGATTACAGGACTGAGCCACAACACCAGACCACAAAACAAACTTAAAGAAAAAAGTATTACTTCTTAATATGAAACTAATTTACTTTTTAAAGTTCTTTTTGCCTAAAGTATGAAGAGTAACTATTAAATTAAATCTCAAGGTGGTAAGGTAAAGGTGACCCAGAAAGGAAAAGATGCCATTTAGCTCTCTTCCAGCTAGTCAGCATGACATGTTACAATGAAAAATTAAAATGAGACATGAAGAGCTAGCTCAAGGAAGTAGAGTCATTTCTCAAGAGCAGAAAGTAGGCCGGGCGTGGTGGCCCACACCTGGTGGCTCTCAGCACTTTGGGAGGCCGAGGTGGGCAGATCACTTGAGGCCAGGAGTTCGGGACCAGCCTAGCCAACATGGTGAAAGCCCATCTCTACTACACATACAAAAATTAGCCTGGCACGGGGGTGCACACCTGTAGTCTCAGCTACATGGGAGGCTGAGGCACGAGAATTGCTTGAACCTGGGAGCCAGAGGTTGCAGTGAGCTGAGATTTCACCACTGTACTCCAGCCTGGGTGGTAGAGTAAGACTCTATTTCAAAAAAAAAAAAGTAGAAAGTAAAAATATAACGAATTATCTTTCAAATCCTCACTATGTTCTTACTCTATCATGTATTCTGAATAAGCCACCATATTGAATTTCATATGAATATATTGGCTTTTCTTTAGTTTTACTACATGTTTGTATTCCCAACATTGCATTGTTTAGTTGTGCATATATTTACATTTTATATAAATGAAATACATGTATTCTCTTTTGTGACTTGCCTCTTTAAATCAGCATTATGTTTTTAAGATTCAGCCATGTGGTTACAGACCTCAGTGACTTAAGTACTGATGGCATCACCTAGGGCCTGGTAGCCAGGACAAGAACTTAAGATTCTTCTGGGAAACTGGGGAGCTATTGGAGGAATTCTGTTTGTTCGTTTTTTGTTTTTGAGACAGGCTGGAATGCAGTGGTATGATTATGGGTCACTGCAGCCTCAGCATCCCAGGCTCAAGCAGTCTTTCTGCCTCAGCTTCCTGAGGCAGCTGCGACCATGCCCAGCTAATTTTTTTAATTTTTCTTTTTGAGACAGTCTTGCTCTGTCGCACAAACTGGAGTGAGTGCTGTGATGCAACGTGGACTCACTGCAGCCTCTGTTCCTGTTTCAAGCGATTTTCACGCCTCGGTCTCCTGAGTAGCTGGGACTATAGGCACGGGCCACTGCACCCGGCTAATTTTTATATTTTTAGTAGAGATGGGGTTTCACCATGTTAGCCAGGCTAGTCTTGAACTCCTGGTCTCAAGTCATCCACCCACCTTGGCCTCCCAAAGTGCTGGAATTACAGGGGTGGGCCACCGAGCCTGGCCCCAGCTAATTTATTTTCATACTTTGTAGAGACAGGGTCGCCCCCTATGTTGCCCAGGCTAGTTTTGAACCCTGAGCTCAAGATGGTCCTCCTATCTCAGCCTCCCAAAGTGTTGGGATTACAGGTGTCAGCCATTATGTCCGGCCCTGTTGGAGGATTCTGAGCAAAGGCTGACTTGACTTGCAAAGTAAAAGCATCTGTCATACCACTGTGGTGTTAGGAAGAGATTAGGAGGGGAGGGTAGAAGCAAGAAGACCCATTAAGGGGCTGCTACATAGGTAATCCAAATGAGAGAAGATGGTATTAGAAGTGAAGATGGTAAAAAATGGTCAGATTTGGATACATTCTGAGTAGAGATTTCAAGAGGTTCCTGACAATTTGAATGTGAGACATAAGAGAAGAGAGGGACCAGGATGCCTCTAAGGATTTGGGTTTAACTGGAAGAACAAAGCTGTCATTAAGCAATAAAGAGAGGCTAGGTGTGGTGGCTCTCTTCTATAATCCTACGAGTTTGGAAGGCCAACGCAGGAGGGCTGCTTGAGCCCAGGAGTTTGAGACCAGCCTGAGTAACATAGCGAGACCCTATCTGTACAAAAAAAATGTCAAAGAAGTGCTGGGCGTGGTGGCTCACACCTGTAATCCCAGCACTTTGGGAGGCCAAGGCACAGATTACCTGAGGTCAAGTGGTTGAGGCCAGCCTGGCTAAGATGGTGAAACTGTCTCTACTAAAAATTAAAAAAAAAAAATTAGGCCGGGCGCGGTGGCTCAAGCCTGTAATCCCAGCACTTTGGGAGGTCGAGGCGGGTGGATCACAAGGTCGAGAGATCGAGACCATCCTGGTCAACATGGTGAAACCCCATCTCTACTAAAAATACAAAAAACTAGCTGGGCGTGGTGGCACGTGCCTGTAATCCCAGCTACTCAGGAGGCCGAGGCAGGAGAATTGCCTGAACCCAGGAGGCGGAGGTTGCAGTGAGCCGAGATCGCGCCATTGCACTCCAGCCTGGGTAACAAGAGTGAAACTCCGTCTCAAAAAAAAAAAAAAAAAAAAAAAAAAAAAAATAGCTATATGTGGTGGCAGGTGGCCAGAGCCCCAGCTACTAAGGAGGCTAAGGCAGAAGAATTGCTTGAACTCAGGAGGTGGAGGTTGCAGTGAGCTGAGATTGCACCATTGCACTCCAGCCCCGGTGACACAGTGAGACTCTTGTCTCAAAAAAACAAAAAATAAAAAATTAGCTGGGCATGGTGGCATATGCCTGTGATCTCAGCTACTTGGGAGGCTTAGGCAGGAGGACCGCTTGAGCCTGAGAGGTTGAGGCTGATGTGAGTTGTGATCCTCCCACTGCACTCCAGCCTGGGTGACAAGAAAGACGCCATTATTCACTCATTCATTCATTCATTAACTCACACATACATACATAAAACAAAAAGGAGATAACTGTAGGTAGAATACGCTGTAAGAAGTCCAGTTTTGGAGATACTGAATAAGCAATTCCTTATATGAGCCTGGAGTTGGAGCAGGGAAAAAAGCCTAAATTGGAGATAGAAATTTGAAAATAATAAACATAAAAATGGCATTTAAAGTCATTAGCTGTATAAGATTACCAGGAAATTGATAAAAACAGAGAAGAGAAGGATAAAAACCCAAAGCCTAAGCTCTGATGTACCTGAACAGTAAGAGAGCTGAGAAAATACATATTTAGGAAAATCAAAATCAGCAACCTTGTTTGGACCAATGTGGAAAATGTATTAAGACAGCTTATAGGAATTCCGATCATACACAAAATAAGTATATCACCAAAGAGGGAATGTCTAACTCCTGTCAGACATCCAATACATGTGTCAATTGAGTTACAAATTGAGCTTGATGACAGATTTAATATGATTCAGTGAAAGAGAATTATATTACTAGAAAAATAACTCAAGGGTTTAATTACATTGATGGTATGCTTAAAAATCTTATTTACCTGTAAAAGGAAATATGTTTTTCAACTTATTAAGATGATCTATAGTTACACATATATGAATACTCACTGGACAAGTTATAATGTTCCTTTATATATAGAAAGATACTTGCATTCTTTTTACCTAATGAGCAGTTGCTTTGCATTCTCCCATCTGTTGAACAACGCAACATGGTGCCGACCACACGGCCTCCCACGACAATGACACGTACATCCCGTCCATGAGACTCCTTAACATACTTCTGGAACAGGTATGGCGCTTCGTGGCGAATAAGATGGCTTAGATCGGCCAAATGGTGCTTATCTCGAGCCAAGAAAACAGCTTTACCTATATGATTTAAAAGAATAAAAGTACATGTGAAGTCATTAATTGTGGGCAGATGATACCTATTATCTGAATCTTCTTGTACCCCAATCTGCTTTTTCAGAACCAATTATACTTTATTTTTTAAAAAAGTTTTCCTTGTTAGAACTGTTTTAACAGTGAAATAGTACAAAAATAGATAAAAACAAGGTAAATAATCTTTTATCACTCCTCAAACTCTTTCATGACAAACTAAAATTTATTTTGATACATGTTGTGAGACAGGGGTCTAGATTTGTACTTCTCCAGGTTAGCCAGTAATGTCAACCTTATTCACTTGCAAAATCTTCTGAATTGAAATTACTAATATATTGTATAGTAATATATCACACACATTACTATACAATATATTAATATATTATATTAGAATATAGCAATATAGTAGTATGTTACTTCAATTTATTTCTGAATTCTCAAGCCTCTTCCACTGCTCTGTTTCTGTGCCAATGCAAGTGGCTGTTTTTAATGTATGGTTCTAAATTCCTCCCATGGTAGGGAAGGGAAAGGAGGGACACTAAATCTGTCACTATTGGCTGAATCTAGGAGGGCTTATGATTGCTCAAAAAAAGACAATATAGCAGAAGTAATTCTATTATGACTTCTGAGGGTAGATCATAAAAGTCATTTAGGTTCTTTGTTCACTGTAACATTCACTGCAGGAGGCCTGAGACTCTTGGCTGTCCTACTGGAGAAGCCAAATATAAAGAATCCAGTCAACAGTTCAGCTGAACTCTGATCCACCTATCCCTGCCAAGACACAAAAGTACGTCACTGTACTCAGATTTATGAATCATTTTATGCCTTAAAATTCTACAGTAGGCTGGGCATGGTAGCTCATGCTTGGAATCCCAGCACTTTGAGAGACTGAAGTGGGTGAATCTCCTGAGGTCAGGAGTTCAAGACCAGCCTGGCCAACATGGTGAAACCTAATCTCTACTAAACACACACACACACACAGACAGACACAGACACAGACACAGACACAGACACAGACACAGACACACACACACACACAGGCTGGACGTGGTGGCGGACACCTGTAATCCCAGCTACTTGGGAGGCTGAGGCAGGAGAACTACTTGAACCCTGGAGACAGAGGTTGCAGTGAGCCGAAACAGTGCCACTGCACTACAGCCTGGGCAGCAAGAGCAAAACTCTATCTCAAACAAACAAAAAAATTCTACCTTAATCCAAAGTCATTAAGATATTTTCATATGCCATCTTACAAAGTTTTATAGTTTTACCTTATTCATTTAAGTTCTCAAACTACATATATTTAGAGGGGGATGACTGGAGTTAGTGATCTAAGATCTTATATTGTTTCTTTGCTTTTTTTAGACAGAGACTGGCTCTATTGCCCAGGCAGGAGTGCAGAGGCGTGATCTCAGCTCACTGCAACCTCTGCCTCCTGGATCCAAGCAATTCTCCTGCCTCTGAGTAGCTGAGATTACAGGCATATGCCACCATGTCTGGCTAATTTTTGTATTTTTAGTATAGATGAGGTTTCACCACACTGGCCAGCTGGTCTTGAACTCCTGACCTCAGGTGGTCTGCCAGCGTCAGCCACCCAAAGTGCTGGAATTACAGGGGGTACTTACACTGCTGAGGAGGAAGATACAGACATTAACTTGAGACTCAGTCTAAGTATGTATGCTAAAATCTGTAGGTAACCACTAAACAGAAATAGCTTCTAGCCAAACTGAACAACTCATAGTAGCCTTTTGTAAGCCTGAAGTACGATGCACCTAACAATTTCCCTCTAAGTATTCTTCAAAGTCGCTCATATTAGTAAGTATAATTTCAAGACTATATACGTTATCAATAACTCATACGCACCTCTATGACCCCGCGTATTCTTTACTACCATTGGGAACTCCAGTACTTCTGCTTCATCAATCATTTTAGCAAAATTTTCATGGCCACCTGGTTTGAGCAATAAAAAAATTTAAGAAAAACAGAAGTATTTTGTGATCAGTTTTATCTGAAAATCACTTCTATAAGATATTCTTTCCTGCCTGTAAATTTATCCTATTAAACTATCAGTGGTTAACCATTTAGGCTATGCATGCTTCTTAGTAGGCTCACCGTAAGAGAAAGTATCTGGCAGAGGTACACCACGGCCAGCCAACTCTTGAAATGTCCAGAACTTATTAACGCAGTTCAAGATGGCTTGAGGTCGGTTCATCAACCGGCATCCCATCTTCTCTAGATGGCGCAAAACAGTAATGTCACTATCACTTTGCACCCACGGGGTTGGTACTCTGACTACTACAACTTGTGGGTAGGCAGTGATTAGCTCTCCATTGATCCGCAGACCTGAAATATATAAAAATAAGGCCAAAATCATTACAGGAAAATACACAATAAAATAGAGGAACAGTAATATGGCAAAGTTTGTATCACAAAATTAAATGAACTATTTTGTTAATATTAAATTTGGATACAGATATTCCTCTGTAAGAAACAAAAAAAATTAGAAAAATCTTTGCACTGACTAAACTATAGTACCCACTAGAATGAACCATATAGCCATTAAAAATAATGTCATAAACACGTAAGTTCAGAGATGAACAAATGCCCAGATACGTAATATTTAGTTTTTAAGTAACAAATCTGACAAAAAGTTTTATTTGTGCATACACATAAAAGATATCTAAGCAAGTGGGCACAGTGGCTCATGTCTGTCCAGCACTTTGAGAGGCTAAGGCAGGTAGATCACAAGATCAAGAGATAGAGACCATCCTGGCCAACATGGTGAAACTGGTCTCTACTAAAAATACAAAAATTAGCTGAGCATGGTGGAAAGTGCCCGTAATCTCAGCTACTTGAGAGGCTGAGGCAGGAGAATCGCTTGAACTTGAGAGGCAGAGGCTGCAGTGAGCTGAGATCACACCACTACACTCCTAGCCTGGCGACAGAGTGAGACTCCGTCTCAAAGAAAAAAAGAAAAAGAAAAAGAAAAACAAATATTTAAGCAGTTTAATGATTTAACTGGCTTTCTCTGAATGTGACTGGGTGGCAAGGCAGGAAGATGAAGGCTGGAGACGCAACGTTAATATTGTGTTCCATGCAATTCTCTATCTATGTTTTACATGCTTTTTTTTTAAAAAAGTGACAACATATGTCTCTATAATGAAAAAACACAATTTTTTAAAAGAAATGTTTTGCAAGCTTTTATCCAAGTACCTGCCATGACACTCAGCTATTTTTATTTTATTTTTTTTTTTAATTTTTAGTAGAGACAGAGTGTTTCACCATGTTGGCCAGGCTGGTCACAAACCCCTGACCTCAGGTAATCTGTCTGCCTTGGTCTACCAAAGTGCTGGGATTACAGGTGTGAGCCACCACGCCCAGCACTTCTTTGACATTTTTTTTGTACAGATAGGGTCTCGCTATGTTACTCAGGCTGGTCTCAAACTCCTGGGCTCAAGCAGCCCTCCTGCGTTGGCCTTCCAAACTCGTAAGATTATAGAAGAGAGCCACCACACCTAGCCCCTCTTTATTGCTTAATGACAGCTTTGTTCTTCCAGTTTAGACCCAAATCCTTAGAGGCATCCTGGTCCCTCTCTTCTCTTATGTCTCACATTCAAATTGTCAGGAACCTCTTGAAATCTCTACTCAGAATGTATCCAAATCTGACCATTTTCTACCATCTTCACTTCTAATACCATCTTCTCTCATTTGGATTACCTATGTAGCAGCCCCTTAATGGGTCTTCTTGCTTCTACCCTCCCCTCCTAATCTCTTCCTAACACCACAGTGGTATGACAGATGCTTTTACTTTGCAAGTCAAGTCAGCCTTTGCTCAGAATCCTCCAACAGGGCCGGACATAATGGCTGACACCTGTAATCCCAACACTTTGGGAGGCTGAGATAGGAGGACCATCTTGAGCTCAGGGTTCAAAACTAGCCTGGGCAACATAGGGGGCGACCCTGTCTCTACAAAGTATGAAAATAAATTAGCTGGGGCCAGGCTCGGTGGCCCACCCCTGTAATTCCAGCACTTTGGGAGGCCAAGGTGGGTGGATGACTTGAGGCCAGGAGTTCAAGACTAGCCTGGCTAACATGGTGAAACCCCATCTCTACTAAAAATATAAAAATTAGCCGGGTGCAGTGGCCCGTGCCTATAGTCCCAGCTACTCAGGAGACCGAGGCGTGAAAATCGCTTGAAACAGGAACAGAGGCTGCAGTGAGTCCACGTTGCATCACAGCACTCACTCCAGTTTGTGCGACAGAGCAAGACTGTCTCAAAAAGAAAAATTAAAAAAATTAGCTGGGCATGGTCGCAGCTGCCTCAGGAAGCTGAGGCAGAAAGACTGCTTGAGCCTGGGATGCTGAGGCTGCAGTGACCCATAATCATACCACTGCATTCCAGCCTGTCTCAAAAACAAAAACGAACAAACAGAATTCCTCCAATAGCTCCCCAGTTTCCCAGAAGAATCTTAAGTTCTTGTCCTGGCTACCAGGCCCTAGGTGATGTCATCCCTACTTATTTCTCTGAGATCTATAACCACATGGATGAATTGCAAAAACATGTTGATTTAAAAGCACAAGTCACAAAAGAGACTTGTACAATTTAAATTGTCAAGAAAAAGTTCAACCATTATTACTCTGTCATTATGCTAAACTGGAAACAGCTTTTGCTCTTTTTATTTTCTTTATTTTTTTTTTTTTTGAGACGGAGTTTCACTCTTGTTACCCAGGCTGGAGTGCAATGGCGCGATCTCGGCTCACCGCAACCTCCGCCTCCTGGGTTCAGGCAATTCTCCTGCCTCAGCCTCCTGAGTAGCTGGGATTACAAGCACGTGCCACCATGCCCAGCTAATTTTTTTTTTGTATTTTTAGTAGAGACGGGGTTTCACCATGTTGACCAGGATGGTCTCGATCTCTCGACCTCGTGATCCACCCGCCTCGGCCTCCCAAAGTGCTGGGATTACAGGCTTGAGCCACCACGCCCGGCATGCTCTTTTTAAAAAATGGGATAAAGAAAGCAAAACAGCTGGGCGCAGTGGCTCAAGCCTGTAATCCCAGCACTTTGGGAGGCTGAGGCAGGTGGATCACGAGGTCGAGAGATCGAGACCATCCTGGTCAACATGGTGAAACCCCGTCTCTACTAAAAATACAAAAATTAGCTGGGCGTGGTGGCACCTGCCTGTAATCCCAGCTTGGGAGGCTGAGGCAGGAGAATTGCTTGAACCCAGGAGGCAGAGGTTGCGGTGAGCCGAGATCGCGCCATTGCACTCCAGCCTGGGTAACAAGAGCGAAACTCCGTCTCAAAAAAAAAAAAAAAAAAAAAAAAGAAAGCAAAACAAACAAACAAAAAAAACTGTTCCACTCTTAACATCCTATCTGTTGCCACCAGAAAATGAGAGTACTCTACCCAAAGCATAGTCAGACCTGCACAGTGCACTGTGGAGGTATTAATGAGGATGGAAAGAAATTCAATGCCTCCTGAAACAAACACTTGATGTTTTTCTAAGAAAGCAGAAGTGATCCAAGGCTGGAAAGATGAATGTGAGCCAAAGAGGTAAAGTGACATCTCTTAGGACTCCGCCTTATGAGCTACTGATCTCTTGAGCACTCATCAAATATCACCGGTGTCTTTGATGCAGAACTTATAAATGGAAATAAAAGGAATGGTTTCTTCCCTTAATTTCATGTTATTCAGTATACAAACGCAAATAATTGTTCGAAGAACTTTACCCACAATTCCATTACTTACTGTAAAAACACATATTTCAACTGAATGTGCTTTGTTTTCAACCCCATTGTATGTAATTTATAAATGTATAAATATTATTTTAATACCTTAAAACCCCAACTTATACAATTTTTCATCTAGCTTATTGACTTAATACTGAAATTAAGATTTCAGTACAAATGTTTTAGATATAAGTTTCAGATCAAGTGTATAATAAAGTGCTAACATAACAATTTAAAGAACAGCAATGGGGTGGGAAGCAATCTTTGTTCCTTTTTGTTCATTAGGATATAAGAGGTATTGCATGCTAAAAGGTTGCTGCTGTTGTCAAGGTAGAGTGATGCGGTATTAAGGACTGATTAACACCCTTATCTGAATACTGTTGTAGTATTACTATATTACAGTCATACTATAAGAGTACAGTATTAAAAGTATTATACTCTTAATACTGTACTCTTATATACTCTTTAATACTTACTACTAGTAGTGTTTTTCTCCCTCGGGAATCAAGGAACAGACATATGCTGGTCTTTTTGCTGACATTTACTTTTATTTCATTCTCAAGTGTTCCAGTGCAGCAGCACGATCTGGGCTCATTGTAGCTCCCGTCTTCCGGATTCAAACAATTCTCTTGCCTCAGCCTCCCAAGTAGCTCGGATTACATACATAGTAAATTTTGTGTTTTTTAGGAGAGACAGGGTTTCTCTACGTTGGCCAGGCTGGGCACCAACTCCTGACCTCAGATGGTTTGACCACCCTGACCTCCCAAAGTGCTCAGATTACAGGCGTGAGCAACCGCGCCTAGCTGGACTTCCGGAATCTTTTGAAAACCTAAGGTATTTTGAGAATTTTAACTAAAAGTTTCAAGTAAAGTTGCTCAATTAAAAACCCACACAATCTTTGTGTCAAAAATTAAAGAACCACTCAAAGACTGTGTTAAAAGGACACAGGAAACAACCTGGAGGTGTTCCCACTAGCTAAATTTGAGATGATCTGGACATAAAAAAAAAAAAAAAAAAAGAATGAACTGTAACACAGTGTGTATAAAAAGTCTGTGAGTCCATAATGAATATGGAAAAATGGTAAAAAAGCCCTATTTGGTACCTCAGGAGGGGAATATTACAGATGCTCCTCGAAGTTAAGTATCACTTAGTATCACTGTAAAGTTGAAAAGTTTTCAAGTCAGGGACTATACGTACATAAATCCTTATTCCCAAAACCAGTAAAGCGGGAAAATTACATTTACGTAAACTTTTTAGGAGGTAATATATAGTTCGCCACCAGCAGAGAAACTCTTTTAAAGAATGTGAACTAATAAATCACTAACAGTGACCCAGACCTTCATTCTGTACCTTCTGTTTGTCTGCATTACGAAGTACATACCATCACACTGAAGTAATTTTTTCCCTCAATTGTGTAACCTGGATATAATCAAGCCAATTTACAGAAAACTTTAGGAGGCAAACATCAAAAGGAAATGATTAAACAACTGCAGAATGTGAGCCATTTTTGCAGAAATAAAGATGCAGAGGCCAGATGTGCTGGCTCACACCTGCAATCCCAGTTTGTAATCCCAGCTACTTGGGAGGCTGAGGCAGGAGAATCACTTGAACCC